CGTACACTCAATAATTAACTAATCACAGCGTTGATTATACACTCAATAATTAACTAATCACAGCGTTGATTATACACTCAATAATTAACTAATCACAGCGTTGATTATAAATAAATAGGATGACACGGTGTCTCAATTTCAGACTAGGCCGTAGGCGCACAGAGAGGCGGAAGTCGCGGTCTATGCACACTCAGAAATATAAGTCGCTCAATGTGTCCAAATATTGATACGCTTTCTCAGCCACGGCACATACAGAGAACAGATGTAGCACTGATACGCTCTTTTGACCGGGTAAAAATGAATAAGGATGACCCGTAGAAGGGCAAATAATGCATCGTTATTCGGACAAAATCTCACTTATTTCTCTTAGTGTACGTTGTGTTTAGCGATTTGTGCAGGTAAGCAGAAATTGGCATCAATTACGTACGAACTAAAGGAACTAAAAATTGGCTGCAATTAAGGAAAGAAACAGTAATTAAGTAAAATCAATAACACGATGGTGTACGTGTAAAGTGAATGTACTTGAACGCAATAGTTCCATTAAAACTGATGTACAGAAATATGAAGACATTAATAAAATAAAATATAATAAATAATAAAAAATAGAAATTTTATTTTATGACAAAATATTGCTTCAAACTTTCATTGTTAAGGTAAATATCTTCTAATTGACATGCTTTAAATCTGTACTTTGTTATTAACTGAAATGGAGATCCCCGAGATGTTATAGAAAATATGATCTTTTATACATGCGGGCAACACCGAATGATGTCAGAGTAAAAGAGTCAGAGTCGGATGGTCAGACACTGAGGTTCAGAGTTAAAGGCAAATCGCCATAGTCAAGGTCAGAGGCAGATTCAGAGTCAGAGTCAGAGTCAGAGTCAGAGTCAGAGTCAGAGTCAGAGTCAGAGTCAGAGTCAGAGTAAGAGTCAGAGTCAGAGTCAAAGGCAGAGTCAGGGGCACAGTCAGAGTCAGAGTCAGAGGCAGAGTTAGGGGCACAGTCAGAGTCAGAGGCAGAGTCAGGGGCACAGTCAGAGTCAAAGGCAGAGTCAGGGGCACAGTCAGAGTCAGAGGCAGAGTCAGAGCCGGCGGTGCCACAAGGCTGTCATTTAAGATTCGTCACGGAATTTTGAGCTAGAGAAGTCCGTACTGACTGGTTCTAGAGAAGCGACTAGACTCACCTAGCGTCTATAAATTGACTCACCTAGAGTTAAGAACTTGACTCACCTAAGTATTAAGATCTCTCGGATGCTTAAATCGCAAATCTATCAGGAATTAAAAAGCGAAGAAAACAGCCAAAAAAATCACTATTTCCTAAGAAAAAAAAAAAGTTTCGGAGTCCATCTCCATTGTCAGTTCAGAAACCAAGAACCATAGTACAATCAAATATTAAACTAAAATTTACATTGTAGATATCAAAACCTAAATTGTCGGTTGAAAACAAATAAGAATGAAGTAAATATATGAGCAAACAAACCTAACTATTTACAACTTCGAGGGGATAGGAACTGGAGGGGGCACTAAAACTGGGCTACTGTTTAAATATATACAGGAATTTTAAAAATCGCATGCCAGAAACAATGGATGTGGGACTAAATCTCAAAAATCATTATCACCGGGACTTTGAACTGCTCTGCATAGAAGCGTATAGCTGAATGAGGGGATGGGCAAGCAGGTTTCCTGTTCTAAAACTCCTTCCCTCGTGCTCAGCTAGCCTAGTATAAAAAATTTCGTGTTGTCATAGCGACATACGCAGATGCGCACTGCGCACAACTATATTGATAAACTAAGGACGATCGCATAGGAACAGGTAATCTAGCTTTATGCTTGTAAAAACAACTGATTTTAAAGTTATTTAGCAGCAATATATGAAGATTCACATTCGGGAGGTATTTAACGATTAAAACTTTCAACTCTATTCAAAGCTTTTAGGTAGTCATGAAGTTAAATATAATGCCGACCCATTCACCCATAGGCCCAAACAGAATTCAGTAAAATGCATCTGTTAAAAGAGCTGCTTGAGTATGTATTGGTTTACTGTCTAGGTAGACAATGCATCGGTTGACCGTGCAGGTTGATAATGTATTGCTTGACCGTGTAGGTTGACAATGCATCGGTTGACAGTGTAGGTTGACAACGCATCGGTTGACAATGTATCGGTTAACTGTATAGGTTGACAATGCATCGGTTGAAAATGTATCCGTTGACCATGTAGATTGACAACGCATAGGTTGACAGTGTAGGTTGGCAGTGCCTCAATCAACCAAATACCCAAGCACGTCTCAGGACCCACAAGCGGGTTGGTAATTAGGCTGTAACCGTGTCTAAACCTGCAACCTCAACACGAAACCGCAGCCCAGTTCCGGCCTAACCTGTGCCATGTTACCTGTACAGAACTAATTCATGTATACGGCTGCATGACGGACATTAATACAATTCATACTATAATAATAATCATAGGTAACTGCGCGTAAATTGCTGCAATGAACGTGTGTAAGCATCTTCAACTAATTGAAGCGAAATGTTTCAATTACCCTTCAATTATTGTCTCAATTCCCTCTGTAACGAAATGTTTCAATTGTGTATTAATTAATAGGTGTTTCATTTTTTAATTGAATCATTTCACACACTCATCATTTTCAGTACAAGAAAATAAAGTTTATAAGGTATTACCCTCAGTACCATATTTCATTACCCGCAGGGAGAACACTATAGGTAATACGGTACTACTTTCATAATCAAGCCTAGAAAGTAACAGTAAGCTTAGGTTCTTACTCAATTGGCAATCAAAGGTGCTTATTCATTAGTAAGCTGAAAGAATGATGTATGAATTCAACTCGCTATAGTGAGTTTCATGATTCACCTGCATGATTAAATTAGAAGTGAAAGGGAAGACAAGGCACTGAATTAGAAAGGGGTACAGAGTTCGCAGGCGGTAATTACTAATTAAAATGTGGTTCTAAATTGGATGGTTCTGCAACCTCTTGATCCTGAGAACCAATTATTATTAGTCCCTTTATTTAAATGGTTTTCGTCATCCCAATTAATCATGATGCTTAATTTGTAAAAGTGATTTTCATCCAACGCTTCTCCATCCTCGTGATCCTGAAAATTTATGAATATTAAATAATATTAAATACTAATATAATAAATATTAAATAATAGATTTAATAATATGAATATTAAATTGAATAGAATATTAAAAGCAATTTCAAGAAGTTGCTATAGAATAGAACTATTTCCTATCTTTTTTCATGTCGTTCTCATTTTTTATATATCAAATGGTTCTTTATTTGTCCTTTGGTCTTGAGAACCTATTTCTGAAAGTCGCTCTCCGTCAAATGGTTCTCCTTCATGCCAAAAGTGGAGTAAAAAAGTCCTCCTCTGGAGTTTCAAGATGTCATTCAATGGTTCTAGGCATGTAGTTTAGTCAGGTTCTAATTACTTATTAAGGGGTTTGTTCATATTAAAGAAGATAATAATTAAGTTTTTCATAATTATCTCATTAAGTATTTTGAGAGATTCTTCAAAAATGAACCTGCAGGGCCTTAAGTGACAACATTTTTTTTTGTATTAAATTGATGAAAATTATAAAATTTTGCTTTTCGGATGAATTAGTTGATAAATTTAATTTATTGAATAATTAAATAATTAATATTAATTATAATAATAATTAATAATAATAATAATTAATAATTAAAAATTAAATGTTTCAAATGGACAAAATTATATGTATTATATAACATAAACATGCGTTAAAACTGCTCGAAGTGAGAAAGACTACTGGCATTTAGAGTCGGTTTAAAACCGGCCATTGAGTGGCCATCTATAAACCGACCCAGAATCAGAACACCTCAATTTCAAGCTATAATTTACCCATGGCATAATCTATTAACTTACGAGCCGCCGGTATACTGACAGAAGCATATAATACGAGGTAATGTATTAGTTATATCGTAATAACTTCAGTTCAATCATTATTAAATCATTGGCCACCGATCAGCCGACCAAGATTCTCCCAACGCTGATGAGGAAGGACGACTGCATTTCAAAAGTTTGACTTATTTCAATTTTGAAAATCAGTGTAAAAGTTGGAAATAATCCTTGAACCCTCACCGCCATAATTCATTTGACATTACAAGTGGTGATAATAACAAATATAATAAAATAGAATAGTATTTAATGCAAATAGTAATATAAAATAATGTTATAGCAAGTAAGGTAGTAGAGTACAGTCTTTACAAACTGGTTGGAAAAGCAATATGAATGCGGGACGAATTTTCATCTAATATTGCGTAAAAAATTATAAATAAATAAATAACTACACCGAAGCTTTCTCAGGATTCCTGCTATTATAGAGTTTGGAACCTTCAAAAATTGTATCAAGAATATTTCAGTTTTGATTCCAAAATTAATAAAGAATATTTTAGTTTTGATTACAAAATCATGCAGTTAGCCGCATTCAAGTTACCGAAAACGACCAATTTTACGACTTTACGACCAACATACGACTTTACGACTCACTTTGCATTGTCGCGCCGTTTAACGCATTTTATTCCTTACTTTTATTGCTCTTTGAGGCGCCATATTTATTTTTTTCGTTTCTTTTATTGTCCATTGTAGCGCAATCGCTTCATTGAACTAGAAATTTATGGTCGGATCATAGCCGGCCACCGAAAATTCGTCAGTAATTTTCATTTCGGTTATTTTGACCAGAAAAAGTAAATGTCTTCGAATCTTAGGCAAAATGGTCTTGATTATCATTAAGATACACGTGTATGTGAAGATACAATGTTGATATTAACAATAATTTTGATTATAAAGCCGAATTTGCATCGAAAATTTTTCATGAATAATTCTATCCTTTTATTATGAGATCTCCAGGATAAATAATTTAATTGTCCTACTAACTGTGAAGTGGGTGAATGCAAAAAGAAATTGGATTGTCAATAAATACGGGGGTAATTGATATAAATAATGGTAAAAATAATGGTATTTGTATGTTTATTAAAGCGTTCGATGATCAGCACCAGACACCCCCTGTCTACACACCACCCGTCTACACACGACCCGTCTACACACCACCCGTCTACACACCTCCTGTCTACACACCACCCGTCTACACACCACCCGTCTACACACCTCCTGTCTACACACCTCCTGTCTACACACCTCCTGTCTACACACCCCCTGTCTACACACCACCCGTCTACACACGACCCGTCTACACACCACCCGTCTACACACCTCCTGTTTACATACCACCCGTCTACACACCACCTGTCTACACACCCCCTGTCTACACACCACCCGTCTACACACCACCCGTCTACACACCTCCTGTCTACACACCACCCGTCTACACACCACCTGTCTACACACCTCCTGTCTACACACCACCTGTCTACACACCACCGGTCTACACACCACCTGTCTACACACCCCCTGTCTACACACCCCCTGTCTACACACCGCCTATCTACACACCTCCTGTCTACACACCTCCTGTCTACACACCCCCTGTCTACACACCCCCTGTCTACACATCTCCTGTCGACACACCACCTGTCTACACACCTCCTGTCTACACACCTCCTGTCTACACAACCCCTGTCTTTACACCCCCTGTCTACACACCCCCTGTCTACACACCTCCTGTCGACACACCTCCTGTCTACACACCCCCTCACCCCCTGTCTACACACCTCCTGTCTACACACCCCTCACCCCCTGTCTACACACCTCCTGTCTACACACCACCTGTCTACACACCCCCTGTCTACACACTCCTTGTCTACACACCTCCTGTCTACACACTCCCTGTCTACACACCTCCTGTCTACACACCTCCTGTCTACACACCTCCTGTCAACACACCTCCTGTCTACACACCCCCTGTCTACACACCACCCGTCTACACATCCCCTGTCTACATACCCTCTGTCTACACACAACCTGTCTACACACTCCCTGTATACACACCACCTGTCTACACACCCCTATCTACACACCCCCTGTCTACATACCCCCTGTCTACACACCCCCTGTCTACACACCTCCTGTCTACACACCTCCTGTCTACACACCCCCTGTCTACACGCTCCCTGTCTACACATCCTCTGTCTACACACCCTCTGTCTACACACAACCTGTCTACACACTCCCTGTCTACACACCACCTGTCAACACATCCCTTATCTACATACCCCCTGTCTACACACCCCCTGTCTACACGCTCCCTGTCTACACATCCCCTGTCTACACACCCTCTGTCTACACACAACCTGTCTACACACCTCCTGTCTACACACCTCCTGTCTACACACCTCCTGTCTACACACCCTCTGTCTACACACCACCTGTCTACACACCCCCTGTCTACACACCACCTATCTACACACCTCCTGTCTACACACCTCCTGTCTACACACCCCCTGTCTACACACCACCTATGTCTACACACCCCCTGTCTACACACCACCTATCTACACACCTCCTGTCTACACACCACCTGTCTACACACCCCCTGTCTACACACCACCTATCTACACACCTCCTGTCTACACACCTCCTGTCTACACACCTCCTGTCTACACACCCCCTGTCTACACACCACCTGTCTACACACCAGTTCCCACGCTTCTGTCTCGCTGCATCCGTCGCTGACGGGCAGCCCGGGGTGTGGGAATATCATCCCCCCCCATCCCCTCCCTCACCCCTACCATTTAATACCCCCTTCTTCCCTCTCCCACGCTCCCCTCCACCTCCTCCCAATCTAATTCTGGTCAACGAGTATCTAGATTTTATTTATAATCTATTTAGAATTTATTTTTAATCTGTTTATAATTTGTTTATAATCTATTTAGAATTTATATTCAACACTCTATTTTTTTCACTGAAGTCACCGCAACGCTGCAGGGACAGTATTGTGTCCCAGAGACGCTGCAGGGACAGTATTGTGTCCCAGAGACGCTGCAGGGACAGTATTGTGTCCCAGAGACGCTGCAGGGACAGTATTGTGTCCCAGAGACGCTGCAGGGACAGTATTGTGTCCCAGAGACGCTGCAGGGACAGTATTGTGTCCCANGCGGTTGGGGGCGGGGGGGGCGACACCTGCCGCGGATGTGCTGCTCGTGTGAACTTCCTGAGTCGCGACGCGTGGCCGCGTTAAGGGCGCGTCATCAGCGGCCAATAACTTGCCGAATATTGGCTGCTGATGATAAATAAATAACGCTTATTGGCCCACAATTGGCCGCCGAAGATAAATATGACCAACGATAAGCCGGCCATAACATTATATTGGAATTAAACAGCAAAATTTGTGATCAAATGGCCATTCACTGTCTGGGCCTATACTTTCATAACTCGCTAAGTGAACGTAAGTACTTACGCTCTATTATCTTGTCTGTGATTGGTGATTTTGCTCGAAAGGCCGTCAACGATTGGCTGATGAACTTACGATCTCTTAACTTTTTTTGAAAGTATAGGCCCATATCATTACACTCAGAGAATTGAGCAGGATTATGTCCCAATGGTGATGCACTTATAGTCCGTGAATAAGTCATGCTGACCCAGTTTGATACGACAAATGACAAATCAGTTCTACTTCAGCTCTCCGTTGTGATGTGGATGTTAAATAAGTCACTACTAGGACAGAACGATGCATGAGTTTTTTTTTTGAGTGTGCAAGATTCGGAGTCTCATCGTCGGCCGCACATAAATCGCCGTTGATTATTTTTCAAGCAAAGTAAGGCAAGCTAAGCCACGTCTTTTTACTATAAAGCTGGAATAACAATCTTAAATGTTAATCATCATTCTTACACGATGGTTGAAGTGCATCAATTAAGGAACTAAAGGTTCTATTAAAGAACTAAAGGTTCAGTTAAAGAAATAGTGGTTCTATTAAAGAACTAGAGGTTCAGTTAAAGAAATAGTGGTTCTGTTAAAGAACTAGAGGTTCTGTTAAAGAGCTAGAGGTCCTGTTAAATAATTAGAGGTTCTGTTAAAGAGCTAGAGGTTCTGTTAAAGAAATAAAAGTTTTGTTAAAGAACTAGAGGTTCTGTTATAGAAATAGAGGTTCTGTTAAAGAACTAGAGGTTCAGTTAGAGAACTAGAGGTTCTGTTAAAGAAATAAAAGTTCTGTTAAAGAACTAGAGGTTCTGTTAAAGAACTAGAGGTTCTGCTAAAGAATTAGAGGTTCCGTTAAAAAACTAGAGGTTCTGTTAAAAAACTAGAGGTTCTGTCAAAGAGCTAGAGGTTCTGTTAAAGAACTAGAGGTTCCGTTAAAGAACTAGAGGTTCTGTTAAAGAATTAGAGGTTCCGTTAAAAAACTAGAGGTTCTGTTAAAAAACTAGAGGTTCTGTCAAAGAGCTAGAGGTTCTGTTAAAGAATTAAAGGCTCTGTTAAAGAACTAGAGGTTCTGTTAAGGAAATAATAAAGGTTCTGTTTAAGAACTAGATCAGAGGTTCTGCTGAAGAACTAGAGGTTCTCTTAACGACTTCTATGTTAGCTACGCTACTGTAGTTAATGAGTCCAAATATGAGTGATTAAGTGAATAATATACGAGTTTGCACTAGTGCAGTGTAATAAGTTTGCCCTAGTGTTGTGGATAATTTTAAATGGAAAACATAAAAGTTATCACAAAATAAATGAAGTTTGAAGTTTTTCTTCATTCTACACGCTGTTATTTTATCCTCCGCCACCCACGAGGCCAGAACAACGTAACTTTCACATGATATTCCTACGGGAAATGAAAGTCAAGGGATAAAAAATTCTGATTCTTCCTACGTTTCAGGCATTCCCAATGAAGGGTTGAGCCAATCTATATATATTCTCCGCCAATTAATCCCTTGAAAATTCCAATCACGGCTCAGCTCTTAGCCAATCAATTGGTTCCACTTTACCTTGATTGTTTCAACCTTCTCGTCTTCTGTACGAAATGTAAATTGGGACACCCGAGTTGGTCTAATACAACGTGGACTTGAATGAACTAATTAAAAATTCAGGATTATAATTAAACAATTTATATTTTATGCTTATGGGTAACAATTTTGTTTTTTTTTTTTTGTAATTTTTTAAGCAGTTTAATCTTGCAGGTTGCCCAGAAGCCCTCTTTAAAAAAGTGATTTGAGAATTTTTTGGTGAGAATGTAGTCATAACACATGATGGCTTGCTAGCTATTAAGTACATTATATTACACGGCATCCTTACTTAACTACATCAAGTTTCTCTTCCAACCTCATCAAGTTTTTCTTTCAACTTCATCAAGTTTTTCTTCCAACTTCATCAAGTTTCTCTTGCAGCTTCACCAAGTTTCTCTTCCAACTTCATCAAGTTTCTCTTCCAACTTCACCAAGTTTCTCTTCCAACTTCATCAAGTTTCTCTTCCAACTTCATCAAGTCTCTCTTCCAACTTCATCAAGTCTCTCTTCCAACTTCATCAAGTCTCTTCCAACTTCATCAAGTCTCTTCCAACTTCATCAAGTCTCTTCCAACTTCATCAAGTCTCTCTTCCAACTTCATCAAGTCTCTTCCAACTTCATCAAGTCTCTTCCAACTTCATCAAGTCTCTTCCAACTTCATCAAGTCTCTCTTCCAACTTCATCAAGTCTCTTCCAACTTCATCAAGTCTCTTCCAACTTCATCAAGTCTCTCTTCCAACTTCATCAAGTCTCTCTTCCAACTTCATCAAATTTCTCTTCCAACTTCATCAAGCTTATTTTCCAACTTCATCAAGTTTTGTTTCTCTCAAACGTTGTCTGGACCATTATATAATAAACTTATTTCACGCTTCCCAATAACTATTCATTAGTGGAACAATGGAAGCAAATCCTGGTTTTTACGGTTAAAATACTGTAGCTTAAATTCGCATGTACACTCATAGAAATGAGAGAGGCTTTGTCTCAATAAGGATGAGATTTTTACCCTTGTGTGGATCATTCTGATCCAGTTTGACCCAGAAAAAGAATGTATCAGTTGCGTATAAATCCACTTTCTGCTCGTGCCGTTGATAAGAATGTGTGTAGCATTTGAGACAATATTACCCACTCATTTGCCTGAGCTGGCAAGCCTCCTTCAGTCCACCAGCGCTGTTTTTTTTACAGGATTTGAGGTAGTTTTTAATCTATTATATTTATTATAAAAACAATGAAAATAGAAGCATATTTGGATGAAAATCAAAGGCCAATTGTATTGTAAAATTAAACAGTCACCGCAAAAAGTCGAACAGCGAGTAGGCACACCGAAAAATTACTGGATCACATTGTCCAAAAAAGTGACACACTTTCAGCATGTAGCGCTGATATGTCCTTTTAACTGATAAAACTGAGTCAGGATGACTCACTGAAGGGTATGAAGTGCATCATTATTTGGACAAAGTCTCTCAATTTTCCTGAGTATGTCGAAGCATGACGCGTTATAGGCTCGGTTTTAGGCCTAAGCCTAGAGTTTCGTGTAGCGCCGCCACGACTCCTAAACTTACATCCAAACCTACATCAACATTAGTCACATTACCGGCACGAGTTGCCACATTGTGGCTAGCTGCGTTAGGAATCCTGTGTGGCGTAAAGCCGATGTATGAATGGCCGACGAAAAATCGCGTATAATTTTGAATAGGGAAGCTTGTAGCTTCGTGAGGAAAGTTCTGCTTGTCAATTACATACGAAAACAACTTTCTTTCTTAATATTTGGCTTGAGAGTTATGCCTTCTTTTTATCATGGAAATGAATGGCAAGTCATGGAAATATGAATGGCTAAAAAATATCAATCGTATACTAAAATGTGGAAGGTCTGATAATGTACGTATAAGCTACGAAATATCGGTAGTTGTAAAAGAACATGTATAAAGTGACTATCAAGTGAAGAATATAATTAAAAATGGAAGTGAGTTAATTAAAAGGCTTGTAATTGATTTATTTCAAAATTTTATATATTCTAAGATGAAATGAAATTTTTTGTTCCGAGTAGATTTCATTTGTATTTACGAAGGTATTTATCAAGACATTTAATAAAATTATACACTTGCTCTTTCATCGTTGAAGTTGATACATCGCTCCAAGTGCTATATAGGTATAGCACGTCATATATAGAAATATCAACAGAGTAGCTAACAAAACATGACATTTTATCCACCCTCTCACCATTTCCCCGTCCTCCGTCCCCACCCTTTAACCATTTCCCCGTCCACCGTCCACGTTGAGACAGTTCCCGTCGCCGCCCGTCTATTGTGTTCCATAATACCAGCCCCTATTGAAAATCATAGACGAATTTTAATCGGCCATTGTAATGGCGGCTGAAAAAACCCGGTGAATGTTAAGAAAACGCTACCTGAATTGAAAATAAATCTAAATCGTTACATAGTTTGCCTTAAACGGCCTTTGATTTTCTGAAGGGTAAAGGTACGGGCCCAAATGCCAGAAGCTGTCCGGCGGATTCAATGGAGAAAAAAAAATATTTCCGACCTTACAATCGCGGAATAAAATCGCACCGGAAGACCAGTCGGCGGTTGCCATAGCGACGGCGTCATCACATCTGAACATTCACTGCGCGGTTGAGTGCTTGCGTTAGACGCGTTATAATACATACGGTGATCGAGAGTACAGGGATGATATCATACGGTGATGATAGCATACGGTGATGGTGAGTACGGCGATAATAGCATACGGTGATCGTGAATACAGGGATGATATCATACGGTGATCGTGAATACGGCAATGATAGCATACGGTGATCGTGAGTACAGGGATGATATCATACGGTGATGATAGCATACGGTGATGGTGAGTACGGCGATAATAGCATACGGTGATCGTGAATACGGTGATGATAGCATATGGTGATCGTAAATACGGCGATGATAGCATACGGTGATCGTGAATACAGTGATGATAGCATACAGTGATCGTGAGTACAGTGATGATAGCATACGGTGATGGTGAGTACGGCGATAATAGCATACGGTGATCGTAAATACAGGGATGATATCATACGGTGATGATAACATACGGTGATCGTGAGTACAGTGATGATAGCATACGGTGATCGTGAGTACGGCGATGATAGCATACGGTGATCGTAGTTACAACAATGATAGCATACGGTGATCGTGAATACGGTGATGATAGCATACGGTGATCGTGAGTACGGCGATGACAGCATACGGTGATCGTGAGA